TCCTGTGGATCTGTGCACCGGGCCCATTCTGGCACATCTCGTGGATGCTCGATTGGATTGGGATCTGGGGAGTTTGGAGGTCGAATTGGTGCCTCGGGCTCTTTCTTGTGCTCCTCAAGTTGTTCCTGAGTACATTTTCTTCATGCAGCAGGACACGCTGACTGCTTCTGAAGGCGGATGGCATCAGAGTGTGTGTGGGGTGTGTTTGGTCTGCAGCAAGGTTCAGGTGGGCGTCAGAGGAACAGAGGAACATCCACTGTTTCCAAACAGAACGTGGCAGATGATCAGTGTTGTTCACTTCAGCTGTTTGAACGCTGTGGCTGATCACCATACGTTACTGTGACGAAGCAGTTCAGCCGCAGGAGAGCATCAAAGCATCTGTCGCTGTTCTTTCCCGTCAACCTGTTTCCACATGAAGCCAAGAGTCAAAAAGCTAAAACAAACCGACAGTCGTGACTCGATGATCCGGCACTAAATGTAAAACCTTCTTCTATGTCGGATATCAAGGCTGTCGGATTGTCCAGACGGAGGTCCAGATACGAGGAGGGCTTGATGCTGGAAGGATCATTAGTTGTTCATTATTGTTCATAGTTGTTATAATAACTAGTGGTTCTGGTCCCAATAGAACTTTCTGCTCTCTGGATATTCAGGCCCAATTAATGATGAATATCAGAACATTCTGTGCGGTCGGGGGACACTTCCACCCCGGGGCAGCGCTCTGACGGGGTGGAAGTGTCCAGAACACACAGGCAGTACTTGGCTGCTGATGCTAGTTTAGTTAGCGCTCACACTTCTGTTTCCTCCATCGGTGGCGGCGGGGGAGTGGCAGATACGCTCCACCGTTACCATCCATGTTTACTTCCATAAACACTGAGCACGCTCGCTGCGTGTGACGTCGTCGTGTCCTCTTCTGCGCATGCGGGACACTTTTGGCTCGTATGAAGTTCACACAGCAGATCACATACAAGTCGCATTGAAGTGGAAACGTGAAGGAAGTCACAAAGAAATCCTCATTGAGCATCAAGTCCTGCAGTGTGAACGTAGCCAATCTGTGGGATTGTTCAGTCAGATAATACGCCGTCATCCTGATTGGTGACATTAAATGTCATGTCGGAGTCACAATCCAAGGCTGTCGCTATGTTAAGGCTGTTTTTATGGGTTCTGTTGGGTTTTCCTAAAAACCTGTCGGATAGCAGGTTTAGGATTGTTAAGGGTCGATTATCGAGTCACGGCTTTGTTTATGTAACCTCTCCACCACCTCATGTGACGTAGACACAGTTAGCAACTCATGTGTTGAACAAAGTGAAGCATTCAGCAACTAAACGTCCACTTATTTCCCTCAGGAGTTGGGAAACACCAAACAGGAAGGCAATACTGTGCATGACTGCTGGGTGTGAAAATAATCAACCAGTTCGCTGCCAACAGGTAGAAAACCAGCTACACTCTGGAAAATACCCGCCAAATGTACGACAACTGAGTAGATGGAGGAGTGGTAATAAGGGCTGTGGTGTGCGGTTGTGTGGTTGTGTAGTTGTGTAGTTGTGGTTGTGCGGCTGTGTAGTTGTGTGGTTGTGGTTGTGTGGTGTGTGTGTGGAGGATGGGGTGGGTTAATTGCCCCCATGCAAAACATTTAAGCTGTGCTCTTTCATCTGCACACACAGTTAGCCGCTCGTAGCCGTTCATTTCTGATAACCAAGTTCCTCACTGTGCCCGACCACAATAGCAAACTGACAACATGACGTTAGGCGGCCGGGAAAGAAGCTGCATGCGGCGGATTTAAACTTCAAATTTAATGAAAGGACTTCCCACATTCAGCGGTGGTTTCCTTTATTCCCTGCTGGGAACAGCGTCCGCTTATTCTCATACAAACACTGACGTCTTCCTGCACTGTGTGGACGCCACACACACATAATTACCACCTTTTTTCTTTCTTTCTTTCTTTCTTTATTCTAAAAAACGGCGAATGTGCGTCAGTCCATATTTCCAGCATGTGATAATGGACATGCAATGACCCAATCTGGCTTAGCGGATCCATCCATCGGTGCAATTACCGGCTAGCTTCCTACAAAATAGTGGCCAGAGAATAATTTGTGTGTTCCCTTACTTATATTTTACAGATTATATTCTCTCAGGCCTTCCTCAACAATTATTTAGCAAATCCCTCACTGGGAGAATAAAAGCTGCCCCTCCACGGACAACGCCACCCACATCCATTTACTCCTCCGTGGCCGTGTTGTGATGTCCATTCTGTAATAAGCAATGATAATTAGAAGAAAACTGTGTGAATGTTTGACCTAAGCTAATTAGAAAGTTTGCAGACTTGGCAGCAGGAATCAGCAGTGGGATAATGAATCATAAAATGGTTCATTACTGCGCTCAGGGAACACTCTCAATCTCAATAAACGGACATGGGGCCTAGCAGACAAATCAAACCGAGGCGCGTACATCGGCTCATTTAGCCGCTGAAAGGATCACAATCTGGAAAAAAAAGGAAAGAAAGGAAGAAAATGCTTTTTACACCAAATGGTTTCTATTATTAAAGTGTCTCTCCTCTTTCTATCCATCCCTCTATCTGAGTCCATCTCCGAGGACGCCCATTTTGATGTGACCGGCGATTCCAGCTGCCATTTTCTAGATAGCAGCCGCTTTAATCAGCGCATTAATACCGTGTAGCTGCTGAACAGACTCTCACATCAACTGTTGAACACCACGCTGCACTTTGTGCGATATTCTTCCTCCGGTTTTCTTCCCTCCGCCTTTCCTCCGGCCTCCCCCTGAGGAGCCCAATCTGCCCACTCACGCTGCTTCTCTTGTGCTAATCCTAAACCCACAGATATGCTGTAGATCCAGACCTCTCCAGACCCAGAGGACAACAACTCGCCCACATCGGTTTCCTCAGACATCCTCTCCGAGGCACCCTGCAGGCTCCCGCCGGTGGGACCAGAGCGCAGCCCGACATGCAGATAATAATCGACTTCCACCGTCTCCAGGACCAACATGGCGTGCACTAGATGTAAATCCCTGTCAGCAAAGTTAGCTAAAAGCACACTCCACCAATTCTTACTTATGATTCGTCACAGCAGAAACCATTAAAACAAAAGCAATCATTGTTTTTTTTTACTTGAATACCTCTTTGTTGGAAAACGTAAACTTAAAATCGTCATATATCATCAAAATCACCTAATTCTGCATGCTTTATTTAAAAAAATTGCAAAACAAACAAACTATTTGCAGGAACCAGACTCTACAAAAACTAAATACAGTACACACACAGTAAAGATGCAGTAAAGATGCAGCTCTGATTAACAGTCACACGGTGGAAATTCAGGGATTTTTCAGCACGGAAATGAATTAAAAACATAAACAGTAAAATATCGGTGGTATGGACAGTCAATAATTTTCCATTATTGGTAAGAAAAGAGCTGCTGGTACTCAGAAAAATGACGCACATGTTGATTTGGAGTTTTTTTCAATTTTTGAAAAATAAATAAACAAAGAAATTTGTATTTTTTATGATTTGCTGCAAATATAATTGTGATCGTTTCTGCTTGATTTTCCTAATTTCAGCTATTTGTTCTTCTTATTTTACGTATTTGTTTGCAAGAACCATCCTATGTGCAATAATCCAAATTATTATTAGACTGTATGTACACCTACAACAGCAGAATTCATTTTGTGTTATATTTTTATTTTATTTTTATATTAATACTTCATATATTATTATATATTTTTACTTCCTGCTTCTTTAAAACTTCTGATTGGGAGCATCTGTAACTGAAAATAATTTCCTCTAGAGGATCAATAAAGTATTTCTGATTCTGATTCTGATTCTGGACTAGAACTTCATATTTCAGTAAAAAAAAATGAGTCCACGGTGAATAAAAATGTGACCGGAAATGCTTCAGAGTCCAGAGCTACCTTTACATCCTCTATTGACTGATGGATGTATCTCCTGTCTGTTTGCTCCTGGGACGTTTGGTCACAGAGCGTCTTTATGAATCACGAGCGCCGACGTGTTTTCTCGCTATTTATTCATCAGCAGCCACTAAAACACAGCGCGCGCCTTCATAATGGAGTTGGCACGAAATCTGCGGCTGGCAATCTGGGCACAGCAGACCACGCGATGGGAGCGAAGTGAGCAACATCAATAGTAAACATTTCCCGCACAAGAGAAGAGGGAGAAGAAGACGAAGAAAAAAAAAAGCTAATTCCATGCACTGTAGCCCTCTCCTCCTCTAGACTCCACCAGGCTCAATCAAGAGGCCTTTATTCTCTGACTCATATCTTCAGACGAGGGAACCAGAGCTGCCACGAAATGGCTCTGGGAACAATGCGCGGGCCTGATTGCTCTATTGTGAGCTAGCTGTGGCCTTTGACATCTCCTCCTGAACCACGAGTGTCTAATTCTGACAAGATTTGTCTGGAGACGCAGCTGGAGGCCATTGTTACCGACAGGTGCCGCGCGCCGGCTGTTTAACAAAGACGGCGAAAAGCTAAACAATAATGGAGAGAGCGAACATGGCCGCCTGTCTGCACACGCTCTGGGTTCTCGGAGTCTTTAAAGGCAGAGAGAAAGGTTAGAGGTGGATAACAGAGGGAACACGCCAAGCCAAATCAGAGTCCCGGAAGGTACATGTGTTCCCTTTTGTCCATTTGGCAGCTGCAGACCGAGGAGGGTGTTATGTCCCCGGGGCAGCACGGCGCCGGGCAGGAAGGGCAGGGTCCGCGAGCAGGGGACGCCGTGCCCACGCAGGGAAAAAATAGACCAGGATACAGTAGAGGTCTGGTGTGAGACAGAGTCTGTCATCTAAAATCATGTTAGTGGGCTAAAGCGCAGGCTGATCTGAAGAGCAGGGAGGCGTCCGTCCCCGGGCCGGCGCTGGACGGATCCAAGGATGCACATGGACCTGCTGAGAGTCTCCCTAAATGCACCCATCATGAAAAATGCATGAACCGTTCCCCCCAACAGCGAGATGACCAAACAAACAGCGAGAACTTACAGCCTTTGTATATGTCGGTGGGAATCTGGACGGCGCTGGACGAGTAGTTGACCTTGTTCTTGAAATTGGGATCGTCCACAAACTCCAGCTCCAGAGAGGTCGACATCTCCAGTGGGTTCTCCTCTTCCCCGTCCTCCGTCTACACACACACACACACACACACAAACAAATCTGAGTGATCGCACAAATAAAGTCGGGTAGAGGAACCGGGGAAACATGCAAACAAAGATCTGCATTCTGTCGCCTCCCGTTCTGCGGTCGTACTGAAGCCATCTGAGGCTCTGGCTCATGCAGGACGTCGTCTTTGTTCCCGACTCGCACAAAGTCACATGAGTTTTGGATAATGTCGAGCACAAAAATAGCAATTATTCTGCCTTTTGTTTGCCTTCAGACTTAGGTGGTTGTGTTCTTTTTGTGTCGTCGGAGAACAGCAGCAGGTATCCGACTGTCAAAGACACATATTTGCTGTTTGGTTTCCCGCCTCAGTGAGCGACAGCATATTTCCTCCCCTTCTCATTTAAACAAATAAAGAAATAAATTATCAGCTTCTAATTTGTATTTCTCGTCTGTTTTTCGGTCGAGCCGCTGCACACGATGAGAAAAGCCGACGCAGACGCCGCATCGGGAAAGTGTCAGATCTCAAAAACCGAGCTGGAGAATAAAAAAGGAAAGCTGACATTTAAGCCTTTTATCTTGATAAGTTATCAATGTAGTACAATCTGTGCCTGTTCCCACAGGATGGAGTGATTGTGGGATGTGGAGAAAAAAAAGATATAAACCCCACTGTGTGACTCAGTTTATTAGCTTATTCCTGATCTGATATCTCACTAAAACCCTGTCATCCTCACAAAAACCAGGTAAAAAAACGTAAACACGCGAGGTCGACTCGTGGCTCAGCCTTTGTCGAGCAAGCACAATTTAATTAATGTGAGCCGGAGCGCTGAGCTCTCTGGGTCGGTGCCATGCAGAAGTAGCCCTCAGCAGAGTCTGGCATCATGCTTCCATCATTCTTCCTCCATTAGTCATCCTTCATTAGACGCCACTCACTGGATATTTGTACAACAGAATTCAAGAGCAGAACATCTCTGATCGTTCTCCACGCGTCTGGACGTCTCGGGAGCAAAAAATTCTCAAAAAGTAAACCTCGAGTGCTGCAAATACTTGGTGTTGATAAAGCAGCATGGGTTAATTAGATGTGACATGATCAAAAGTGTTTGTTTTTTGGAATAAATTGAATCAAAACCCCATGTCCACGGCAGAAATTGATTGATGGGCACGCTTTAATTGACTATTAAAAGGCAATTACAAACTGTTGAGCGGGACGAGCCGGTGGGAAGAAGAAAACAGAAGAAAGCGGCTCACGAGGACGTTTCTACGGATCTCCAGAGACGACGAGAGACGTCTGACTTGAAACTTTAATACATCAGGAGGTGGAAATGTTTCGGCGTCACATGTTGAATGTTTAGTAAAATCAATTTTAAATCTTAACACGAAACTTGAGTGTGTTTCATCAGGATGTGTTCAGGTTAGAAAGCAGTTCTCTGTGAAGGACCAGAGAGAGACGAGTGTGTGTGAAGGAGGTTCAGAGTCAGTGTGTTTCCCTGGTTTTATTTCATGGCTCCTTTTATGCAAGAAGATCAGATCTGGTTTGTTTTAATTCACTTTAGTCCAGAACTTCCATCTCTAGGACCCGACCCGAAGCTGCAGACTTTGAAAAACTCCTTGTTGCTTAAAAAACTAAACTTTAAACCAGCAGGAAATCACAGTACAAACATGAAAATGGTGGTAATATAACATGGATGTCTTACTTTATAGAAGTTTGAAGAAATGGAGAAAAAAATGAAGTTTTCTAAGAAGCAGCTACTGTACTGTGATTTTTTTGTAAATTCTTGTATCCTATTTTAATTTTTATTATGATTATTTCATTTTATTAGAATTTTTTTCTGTCTACAGTTATTGTACTTTATTTCTATTCTTTTCCTTTCTCATTAAAGCTGGTTCCGATTCTGAACCCAGAACAGAACAGCTGTAGAAGACAAACTCTCTCATGCTAATGCCATGTTAGCGACGCTTTCTCTCCACTCTGCTGTCGGACGAGCAGAACTTTGACCAAATCTGAGAAACTGAACCACTGAATCCGATAACCTTCATCGCTGGATCAATGTCGGTTTTTGTTGACGGAGACGTCCCGGGTCGACGATCCAATAACCGGGAACCAGATTGGGTCGGAGATGGCGGCGTTTCAGCCGCGCGAGCTGAGAGGTTGAGGTGTTTGTTTATCGCTCAGTGTGACACTAATTCTGTCAATGTCGGGCTTTTTTTTTTTTCTTTTTTTTTTTTCCAGAAGAGCCCAATCATAATTAACTAAGGCAGTGTCTAATTAGGAGCTGAATAAATCCACACAGGAAAGACTGATTGGTTCATTTTCTTCAACCATCCACCACCTGTTTTGCTCGATTCATTACCCAATTTGTTAATTTTATCTCCCGGTTCTAAAGGTTTAATTAAAGGCTGAAGAGGCCAGAGATGACATTTCCAGGCGTCTTTTCCTTCCCCACCTTCAGCCAACCAGGGCTAACCTCAAACATGTCGCTTATGACCCGGCGTGTGTGTGTGTGTGTGTGTGTGTGTGTGTGTGTGTGTGTGTGTGTGTCGGTAAAACAAACAAGGTCCAGTCCACAGGAACCATCACTACAGCTGACGGAGAGCTATTTGAAACGCTGTAGTGACATTTGCATTTCTACGCCACACTCTTTTCCCTTTAGATTCCTGACTGAGCGCCGTAATAATCACGCGGGTAATAATGTATTTTATATATTTGACGGTTGTCCTCCAAGTAAATTACCACCTAGAGACGCGGCTGACAATATTTTCCAACCAGACAGATTAGTAATTACATCGTACAGAGAGTGGGATCATGCAGACCATAAAAAACTGTTTTGTCTGCTCTCTACAGGTTGTAATCTTTTGTCAGGAGCGTGCACGGGGGCTGTTATTTTAACCCCTGGACAAAAAGACATGAACGTCATAATGGTATTTAATTTGCAGACAGCATCACCAAAGAATACGTGCTCTTCATCCTCCATGTTGGAACACTTCAAATGAAAGCTCACTGATAGATCAAGGGTTCAGTGGAAAGAGGAGAAATTATCAGGGTACCAGAGGGAGAAGAAGCGCCTGCCAGTCACTTACCTGTCCGGAAACCCATCTCTTGTCTCTAATAGTTCTGGGTTTTACTGGCGAGGCCCAGCTGACGGGGACCGGGCAGCGCCGCTCGGCTACTGTTGGGGCTCCGGCGAGCGAATGACCTCCGCCTGACTTCCGCCGCCGTCGTGTTTTTGGGTGGTGATGTGGGGGTCAGGGGTGTGTCACTGTCTCGGCCTCAGTGTGCCATGTTAATGATGACCGATGTTCTCCAATTAGATGTGCTGACAGGCCCTAAAGCGCCGTGTCATTAATCACGGGAGTGGCGTGCACAAAGAGAAAATCACACCATGATTTATTGCTCTTCTGCCTCCCCTTTCTCACTCTCTTCCCATCTTTTTTTTTTTTTGTGCTTTGGTGATCTAAAAGGGATACTTGCACTCCTCCCTGAAACTTAATCAATCAGCGTGCACGGCCTCGCCATCCCGAGGAGGAGCTGCAGCAGCCGGAGTGGACGCCGGTGATTTGCGGAGGGAAATGCGTCACTCGTTCTACCGGCCTTTCTCTGAATGTCATTCATATTCCCCAGCATGAATGACACGCACGACAGAAATGGTTCCCTATTGTACCGAGCTGATGCTTTTGTGTGCTTCTGCGTCTTGACGGGCCCGGACGCCTGACTAACCGGAGCTCAGATCTGCAGCTGTTGTGGTCCAAGTCAGGGGGGGGGAAGAGAAAACTGTGGCAATCAGACCGGGGGGAGGACATCTGAAATCACTGTCACATGCACGTCGGCCTGCCCCCTGCTCTGTCGCAGCGACTCACCACGTAGCACTGTCACCTCGCTAACGCACACAGACAGCCCAGGGGGCCACCACCGGAGGGCAGGGGGGCATCAACATCGAGAAGGCCGGGGAAGAGGGGGTGGGGTGGGGGGTTGCAGGATGTGGTGGCAGGGGTAGGAGGAGGTGGAGCGGGGAGGATTTGGGGATTTAAGGCAGGCAGACGAGGGGGGAGACGGGAGCAGTCCGCACTGTACTCACATAGTCTGAATCCGCTTTGGAATCGTAGTATGAAATGGCATTCTCCTGTGCAGAAAAGAAAAGTAAAGAAGAAAGGTGATGAGAGGAGATATAGCAGCGCCTATATCAGGCCCGACCTGCGGCGGTACGCTGCAGAGAGTCATGGTTATATTCAGTCACACCGTTCAGCATGAGAATATAATCAGCATCACAGAACACAGGAGGAGTAGTGTGATGTGCAATGACTGTCATGAGGAGGCGAGAGGAGAGCTGCAGAGAAACTGGAGGATGTGAACGCATCTGGCCGATGCTCTGGTGAATGGCACATGTTCGAACCCGTGTTTGGAACACCGTCGGAACATTCTGTGTGTGTGTGGCGCCGTGGTATGAGTTCAGATGTAACATGGAGCAAAGTGGTTCGCAGCGAAGAGCGCAATAAACTCAAAGTATTACTCTCTCCGGGAGTCTTATCAACCTCAGCTGGTTGTGTTTCCAGTCGAGGCAAACAGCTCTCGCAGGAGGGAAGAAACAGGGAAGAAAGAAAAAAGGAGACGACTTTACGCTAGTTTGCTCTAATTAATGAGTTTCCAGTCGCCAGCTGAAGCCCCAGATCCAACCGAGCTTTTACCCTCTACCTGGCCCGAGATGTGAGCCTCCCCCGCCGCCGTCCTCCTCTCCTCCTTATCTCCCCGTGGAGGCAGGCGTGAGGGCGGGCAGAGGCTGCAGCGAGCAGCGAGCGGCGTCCGTGTGGCCTGCCTCATTATCATGAGGAGGCTGGCTGAGGACGTGCTCTCAAGGGCACCACAGTGGCTGCCTCGCCCTCGCTGGAAGAGCTGTGGTCATGGTCTGATGAGGGAGGACGGCTGACAGAGAGGCTCTCCTGTACAGGCGTAATGAGTCCTGCACAGCGACTGCTCAGCTTCGCTTATTCTCTCACAGATCCTTTGACTGTTCTGCTCCCTGTTTCCGTCTCTCTGTGTTTATTTAACTGGAAATACATGCACACCTATTTCTCTCTCTGCCTCCCTTCAGCATAAAAGCCCCTCTACGCGCTGCGACCAAGGTCTTGGCTGGCCTCCAGTCCTAATCAGCGAGTCAGTCATCAGCGCAGTCCCAAACAAGTCACCGAAGAAACACAGTATGATCAAGACTCGAGCTGACACCGAACACGGGGCGCACGAACCGGGACGCCGCTTGTCTCTTTGGGGAATGGGAGAGGACAGGACAGAGGAGGAGCAGGATTTGCCCCCGTGACACATCTCCTCAACTTACCAGCACTCCCTCTGCCCCTCCAGCTCTGTCAGAGATCAGGAGTGGGGATGGAAGGAAAAGGAGCTGAGTGGAGGGATCAGAGCAGATCGCTCAGGGAGTACACTGGGTTAAGTTGGAGGTTAGGATGGAGGCTCAGGTCGGGCTGATATGAAGGGATGGATTGAGAGGAGAGAGATGGGTGGTGGTGGTGGCAGCGGTGGTGGTGGCAGCGGTGGTGGTGGTGGGTGCAGTGGGGAAAGAGCTGCCAGGGCTAAAAATAGCCCATGCCTCTGCAGAGAGAGAAGAGAAACAGAATGAGTATGAGAGAGAGAGAGAGAGCGAGTGTGGCGGAGCAACAGTGTTGTTGTGTCTGCCAGCAGGATTGATCTGGAGCCCAGTCCTGCTCAGACTGGTCGCTCGCTTCTCAAGAGTTTACTCTCACTGCCGCAGCATTACAACTCATTATTCAGGACTGCTTCCTGTAAATAAATGCTTAGTTCCTCACACCCAAGGGACACGGTCCAGCATCCTCACTCAAACAAACAATACGCTGGAACAAATACGCCACACGTCACCGGAGAGAGGCCTCGGTGTGGATCCAGCTCTTCAAACTTCTCCGTTATTACTTCTCTTTACTGCAGATGATGTGGAAAAGTTGCTTCTATAAACCACCAGGCAGCAACTGGTTTGTCTGGTGCAGCCACGAGACCTCAAACACCTCCAGGAGTTTCTGAACAGCTCCACTGATTACTCTAGAAGAACATCCATCCATCCATCCATCCATCCATCCATCCATCCATACCTTAATCCTCACTAGGAGTCTACCCCAGCTGACTCAGGGGACACCTGGACAGGTAAACAGTCTATCACAGGGCTGCAGAAGAACAGCGTTGAGCTCTCCAGTAGTCAGACAGTTCACCTGTTCTGGTGGCTACTGGAGCCTTAAACATGTTTTGTGCTGATTTTTCCTTTAATCATCTGAACCAGCAGGGCCACTGGTGTTGCATCTGTTTGCACAATGACCCTCTCATTGCTAAACCTGCAGCTTAGCATTAGCATCATTGGTCAAGATGTCGAAAAGATCTAGAAGAAACTCAGGATGAATGTGCAGCTACTAAAGAGCAGCGTGGATCCTACTCATGAGTGCAGCAGCTACAAACAGGCGTGCACAGAAGAGGTCGCTCCACGTTGGCGAGTCCGAGGCCACCGTGACCCCCCGAGCAGCCACCGGGGCGGCACGGCCATCTGCTGCGACTGGTCGCAGGTCTCCACGGGCCCGAGGTCTGGGTTAAACACACATCTGATACAACACCAAGCCAGCCAGCAATTATCCCGCACTAACCTCCACACACACACGGTGTCTGATGTCATGTTTACTCACATACAGGATGTACATACGGACACGCATGCATACGCAGCCCAACACGCACACGCAGGAAGCAGCACACAAGTCTGAGAAATCCCCACCGACACAAAGTCCTATCAGTAAATTAAATCTATCATGCTGAGTGGACCAACAAATTCCAAACAGGAGACAAACACTGAGGTCAGGTGATGATCTCCAGCCCCTCCCCAGCATCAATCTTCCCCTGCTCGTCTCCCACCTCCCTCCTCTCCCACCTCCCTCGCCCTTATCTCGATCTGCTTCCTCTCTTCTGCCTTTGCCCCTCTCTCCTCCTCCTCCTCCTCCTCCTCCTCCCCCTGCCCTGTCTTATCTTCATCTTTCCCAATCTCTCTCTCTCTCTCTCCTCAATACCAGCCTCCTCTCGCCAATTTCAGATTTCAGCAAAAGCAGCAGCGCGTAGGTTAGATGCCTACTGTTGCTATAGAAACCGCCCCTCTGCTCCAGATTACAATGTGACTTTGTCTCCTCGCCAGGTCCACGACGTCGGCTCGGTTTTATGTCCCACCAGATACATGGCTGCCTATCTCCGGCTTGTTCTCCTGCCAGCGGCGTGCTTCCTCGTGCGCCTCGTGTTATTTCAAAGTCATCTTTCGCTTGTAAACTTCAAAAATCCGCTTTTCAGGTGAGGGTCGGAAACCTTTAAAGCCCCAAATTTCATCACGCTGACATCATCTCGCGTCTCTAATCGCGGCATGCCGACCACGTTTAACGGGTGGCGGGGAACGGCATAATCCACGACAACAATACGCCAGGAGGACCTTGACAGATGATTTATCCGCCGAGGCGCCGGGTGACAATGCTGACTGACAAATGGCCGGTACATATAAAAGGCTGTCACATGTAGAGGTACATGCGATGACTGAGTACGGTCAGCGGGGCTAAATCTTTTTGAATTTGAATCCGTGAGCTCTGCGAAGGCGCCGGCTGAGACAGGTTGACATTTGAGCGCGAGACAAGCGCTCCATCATGGGTGGGGACAGATTACAGTCATATTCATATCTCCTCTGGACACCTGCTAATGATTTTATAATTACAGAACACACTCGGTGCCTCCGCCGTGCCCCGGGGTGCACGCAAGCATGCAGCCACACACACACACACACACACACACACACCGACACACACACACAGAGTGCACCTCCATCCTGGCCCCGATAGTCTAGCAATCATTCCTAGCACCAGTTTCCCTAATGGAAGCTGACATTATATCAAACACAATAAAGGATTTCATTTACTGCTCTTCATTAACCCACGCACATCAGCCCATAAGGTACACATCAACACACGGCTCACTCAGCGGGAAAATGCAACCAGAAAAAAGGCTCCACAATGTGATGAGGAAAGTGGCTGGTAAAGTTTGTCGTACAGAGACTCCTGCTCTTATCTGCTCTGTCCAATTTCTCTTCTTGTCTCGTCCTCTGTCTCTGCTGCTGCCCAGCATCCCTGCAGTCCATCTCTGAGTGTCAACCGGTACAAAACAAGGGCCGTTTGAACCAGATAAACACTCTGCAGCCCGGTGAAGCTCTCCACCAACAGTCCTCCACGCGTCACCTCCAAGCAAACAGGTGCTTTACGATTTATACAAAATGACTGACAGCCAATTTAGAAACGCGAACACAAGGACGTCCTCCAAATGAAACCACAACATTAGGAGCTCATTTGTTCGTTCTCTGTAGATCCGGTGACCTGCAGGACGGCGGCGGCGGCGGCGGCGGCGTGAAAAGGTGAGCTCGCCAGAGACCATGTTCAAACACAGGTAAATTAATCAGAGACATGTAGAAATTTGTCGGAGATCTAAAAGGCCTTTAGCTGCTTTGATCTGGAATTGCAGAGGTTCCCTGTGAATAAAATATGAAACCTCGTTCTTTGATGGTGCCGTTTTGATTCTGGCAATTTTACATTTTTTTTTTTTTTTTTCCAAAGGCTCCAGGTATTTGGCCTGTTTGCAGAAATGTGAAGGGGAAAAAAAAAAAAACAGTACGTGGACAGTTGTAGTTATAAAACGTTCCTGTCCAGATAGCAGTCAAATAGAAGTGACTTAATTATAAACTTCTCTCTTTGGACATTTTGATTTTATTTATTTTATGCTATTGCCATGGAGCAGTACTGATATTTGTGCAATTTTTAATTTTAATTTTTTATTTTTTTTAAAGATTTTCTTATGAAAGATATGCCAGCATTTATGTAATTTATTTTAATGATTATTTTATTTTTTTTCTTATTGAAGATATGCCTGCATTTATGTAATTTATTATTATTATTATTATTATTATTATTATTATTATTATTATTATTATTATTATTTCAGATTTTCTTGTTGAAGATATGCCTGCATTTATGTAATTTATTTTAATTATTAAACCGTCAGCATTTGTGTTCCTTACTTGTACAGTAAGAATTATGGTCAATG